AGAGGATGGGGGGTATATATAGAGAGGGGAGGGGTATGGAGAGGGAGAGGGGAGGGGGGATGAAGAGGGGGAATTATGGAGAGGGAGAGGAAGGGAAGGGGATGTTAAGGAAGGGAGAAGTGGGGACATAGAGAGGGGAGAAGGGGAGAGGGAGTGTTATGGAAGGAGGAGGAAGGGTGAGGGTGAGGGATTGTGTTTTAGGGAGAGGGGAGGGGAGGGGGAAGGGATGGTACGAGAGGGTGTATGTGTAAGGACGTGGACAGGGAGGGAGGGAAGGAGGGGACGAAGTGAAGAGGAATAGGGGGAGCAAGAGAAGGAGAGAACGGGGGAGGGGGAGAGCAAATGGAAAAGGAAGGAAAGAGAAAGGGGAAGAAGGAAGGGAGGGAGGGAGGGGACGGACTGAAGAGGAAGAGGAAGGGAGGAAGAGAGAGAGGGGAAGAAGGGAGGGACGGAGGGGACGGACTGAAGAGGAATAGAGGGAGGGAGGGAGGGAGGGAGGGGGAGGATGTCTGATCTTCAAGGACCACAACGCCCCAACTGTTGAATACTCTGACCCCCCCCTCGCCCCCCCCCCCGTAGCCTCCGTTAATGCTGCTGTGAATGCTGTTGCTACTGTTGCTTCTGATGTTGAAGGGATTGTTGTTGCTGTTTTGCTATTGTGTTGTGTGTTGTGTGTGTTGTTGTGTAGTTGTGTTGTGTGTTTGTTTGTTTCTGTGTGCGTGTGTGTGTGCGTGTGTGTGCGTGTGTGTGCGTGCGTGCGTGGTCATGTACACATGTTGTTTCCTTATAATAAGATAAAATGAACATTAAAAAAGAGAGAAGGGGGGGGGAGAGGGGGGGAGAGAGGGAGAGAGGAGAGAAAGGGACAGACAGACACAGACAGACAGATAGAGAAAGGGAGGGAGAGGGGAGAAAGGGATACATGTAAAAGAGAGAGAGAGATAAAGAGAAAGAAGAGAGGAAGAGTCAGAAGGAGACAGAAAATAACAAACAAAAATAGATAGATAAAATATTATAAACAAAGTAAAGAAACGAACAAACGAGAAAAGCAACGTAGATGAGCCAGCGTCAGAGGAAATACTAATGATCACACACACCAAACTTTTTTTTTGGCTTTTATAGAGATAATCAGTCGCCATTGATATCATTAAATGGGAATCCAATTTAGGAGAGAGTCGTTTGATATCAAAAGATAGATTGAAGCTGTGATTTTTATTTATTTATTTGTTTGTTTGTTTATTTTAAGGTGTGGGGGGCGACGTCTATCGTGGGTTGGACGGATGAGATTTGAGAAATGAAGAGAAGAATAGAATATGGAGTAGAGACGTAGGGGGGAGGGAAGGGAAGAAGGAGAGAGAGAGAGGAAGGAGAGAGAGGAGACGAAGAGAGATGAGAGAGCAAGAGGGGGATTTAATGTGTATGCGTGTGTGTGTGGGTGTTGTGTGTTTGTGGTGTGTGTGTGGTGTGTGTAGTGGTGGAGCGGAAACGGCAGAGAGAGAGACAGAGGAAGAGGGGAGAGAGAGTGTGTGTGGGTGTGTGGTGGTGATGGCGTGGGATGAGCGGTAGGGTGCTGGTGGGGAAAGGATGTGGAGGAGTGAGGATATATTAGAGTGATCTTAAGTATATAGATATTATAGAGAGATAAGAATAACGAGGGAAAGAGTATAGTAAAAGAGAAAGAACAAAAGATGATATCATAAAGAGAAAAGAATAGTGAAAATATGTGACATAAATAAATTTATAGATAATAGTCAAAAAAAATATAACGATGTATGGTGTATGAATGCTAATGTGCTATAATTTCATCGGTAGTAGA